GAGAGAGAGAGGGAGAGAGAGAGAGGGAGAGAGAGAGAGGGAGAGAGAGAGGGGGAGAGAGAGAGGGAGAGAGGGAGAGAGAGAGAGGGAGAGAGAGGGAGAGAGACAGATAATTTTTCCATCTTAAACTCTAACGAAGGCGAGCGGTGAGCGAATAAGGTTAGTGCGATTATAGGGGAGGGCTATCAGGGATGTGGATCCCCTCACCACTAGTCAGTCACGTAAACAAGACTGTCGAGGTTCAACATTTGGGTAGGTATTACGTCGGTTGTCGGCGACGGAAGGGGCAGGAACTCCGTCGTCGACCGAGCGAATTCCAAGCATCGACTTACCCGCCAGCCAGAGAGCGATCTCGCGACCCGAGTCTCCCTCGGGGACTCACCGACCTCGTTCGACCTCGTTCGACCTCGATTCGACCTCGTTCGACCTCGTTCCTCGACGCTGGAATCCCGTCTCCTCTGCGTCGATTTCCTCGATGCACGCCTGGGTGACATTCGTTTAATTTCGATGAAATGTGGACTCTCGCCGCTGGCACATGGATAAAAAGCTTAGGGATTATCTCATTCCCTGATCCCCTTCCCATCGAAAAAATTCGCCAATTCGTATTTCCCATTTGAGAGCATCTGGAGGAAGGCAATGGATCGTGCTCGAAACCGTCTGAGCGCGGCTTCAATCCGACAAATTTGAAGCTCGTTTTCTTGTGGAGGAAACTGAATCTCGTATTTAGCTTCCGGCAATTTCTTTCCGGTCTCTTTTTTTCTTTCTTTTTCCTTTTCGGAGGTTTCGGGAAAGAAATGCCGACGAAAAGAAAGTCACTCGCTCGTCGCGAGTGCCCTTTTCGTCGTTCGGGATGCGAACATCTCATGGACATCTCATGGACACCTCATGGCGAAAAAATGAAATCAGCTGCCGGTCATTTAGACCTCTCGTTTGGCCGGAATTCCCGGATTTCCTTCTTCTTTTCGTCGGATCCATGCGTCATTCCGGAGTCCCTATGGTGTCCGTTCTTCGTTCCGACTCGGGAGGAATAGATCAGACGGTCGACGGGCTTCCGAATCCAAGTCGTGTCGCAAACTCTAAACCCATCTCAGACCGAATTCCTTCGTCGGGTTGAAATTCTTTTAGGAGAAAGAAAAACGTGGACCCGGATCCGATCTGAAGATTGTCCTGGGCTGGGTCCAGGCTGAGGAAGTCTCCATGCCTATTGTTATATGTAATTATATGTAATTAACCATTGCTCGAGCGATTTTGGGTCATCCATGTGAAAACTGATTGCCACGATGCCTCGAAGAGGAGAAAGTCTTTCAGGTTACACATCACAGTAGATTACATTATGTTATATTACATCATGTTATATTGGTAACCGCTAGCCGCTCTTCCGGCTCCCGTTTCGCGGACCTAACATCCCTTTCGAACGACCTCGCGGTCACCCGACGTCATTCATTGGCCGCTTCATCATCCAAGGACTCAAATTTCCACGTCATCTCGCTCAGGTGTCTCCACCATCTTTTCCACTTTTTAGGAACGCAAACTTGTGTCGAACCCGGCAGCCCGAAACGCGTTCTCGTCGCTTCCCCGAAATCCGATCTCGATCCTCCTGTCACGCACGAGCGACAGGAGGATTCCGCCTCGTTCGAGATCCCTCTCTCATCGCGCGACGGTCCTGAGTCCTCCGACTCGTTTTCGACTTTGAGATCTCGCTCCCCCCGTGCGGTGTCCACCGATTCGGCACGTTCAACCGGTCTCGCACCGTTAATGATAAAACGACCTACGATCGATGGAAGTGAGATGACCTGAGATGACCTGAGATGACCCCGCTGCAGGCCTCCGGTTCGTTTCTCGTATACACGAGGACTCCTACAACCTTCCGAGCCGATCCTCGCGATTTCGACGGCCTCACAACCGAATGCAACCGACGTCGCGACCGAATCCAATCGCGTCGATTTTCGGCGCCCCCGTCTCCCTCGGCCGACCCGTTTCATCGCGCATTCGAGTCGAAACACCCGGCGAAAGAGGGACGCGCGCCGACTCACCGAGTTGCTGCAGAAATGCACGTTCTCGAAGCGCTTGGCGACCCGCTGGGTCACCCGGCGGGCCCTGATGACCAGCGACTTCGTCTCCCTCAGCAGATCCCGCCTGTCGTGTCTGGGGAGCGGCGGGACGAACACGAGAGGCACCGAGGCCTTCCACTTTTCTCTCGCGGCGTGCAGGAGGTCCTAAGGCGAAAGTCGGGATGCATTCCGCGTTTTTGCGCGTGGATACGTTTTTTTTTAAGCAATGCGTTGCGACGGCACGACGGCAGTGCTCTCTTAGGCAAATTTTGGTGAATTTTGTCAAACGTTGGTTAATTTTTGTCACATTTGTTTAATTTCAATATTTATCAAATTTAACAAATTCGTCAAAATTTGTCAAATTTTGTCAAATGAGAAAAATTTTGGAAAATGTGCCAAATTCTGAAGTTTCAATATTCATGTCGATGAAAATCCTGCCGAAAGAGAGAGAGAGAAAACAGATCCACCGAACCGATCGCACGATCGACCTCGTTCCGCCCGAAAGGAGGGAAAAGGAGGCCCCCGCTCGGATCGATTCTGGGGATTCTGGGAGCGAGAACGCACGGCGAGGTCCAGCTCGAACTTGCTGTCGGCGTCGTCGAACGCGGAGGCCAGCATCCGTCCCCGTTCCTTGCGGCTCTCGGGAGAGGCGCGCCTGTCCCCCGGCTTCAGCTGCGTCGAGGATCAAAATTCTCAAATTGATTTTTTTGGGAATCGTTCGGCCCCTCCCCCCGAAATCCCTGCGAGGAGAGAGTAAACCGACCTTTCTGAGCGTCTTGCTGAGGTCGTTGGTGCCGGTCCCGATGACGACCGCGATCGTCGTCGAGTCCGCGTTCAGGTCCTTCACCACTTCCGTGAGGTCTTGCAGAGTTGCTCCTCCGAGGCTCCGGAGCACCTGGAGATGGCTCGTTGCATTGTTCGGGTGAAAACACGGGAATGCGGCTCGAATGTCCGCGATTTTCCTCTGGGTAAGCGTGGCAGACGCGATAAAATTTCAAGTCGTCCGGAAAGTAAAGCAATTCTCTCTCTTAAAATATTATATTTAAAAAAAATACCGAGCTCCCTCGAGGATCTCGAGTAGATATCGCCCATCCTCGTCCCTTCGTCGCTCGGAATCGCACGAGAACCCTCGCGTAAGAGTCTCGATAGGGCGACGAAGGAACGAAGAACGGGTCGGTCCCGCCTGTTACCGAGAGACCGCTTGCCCTTTAAAATCCTTTCATGGGCTTGCAGCTTGGGGAACTTCGAGCTCGTTGCGGGACGATCCCCGATTTTACTTCAACTGCATGCGGAAAGAGAATGCGTTGGGATCGAGGACTCTCAACGACGAGGGTCGTCGAGAGGATAAAGGCCTGAAACGCAGGGAGTTTTGCCACTTCGGTCGGTGCGCGTTTCGGATCAATTACTCTAATTATCATCAGATGCCGGAGGCTCGGCCGTTGCGAGTTCGTTCGCCCGAAGGGGCTGCCAAACTTGCTAATATAATGCTAATAATGCTTGCTACTAATATTGGCCAGAAGAAGTAATGCCACTTTAAATTTCGCTGTGAAATCCGTATTTTTTAAATCGATCGAGTTGCAAGTTTAATCCAACGTTGCCGAATGTGTTTTTTCAAGTTCATGCGCATACGACAACTCGTGCTTGACTTTTTTTTAGCAGATTTTGCCAAATTTGTCAAAATGCTGAGTGAACAGGCACACGACTGCTGTTGCGAGGCAAAAAAATCCACCTTTGAATGGAAAATTACTGCACATGCACGACATTTTCGGATGGTGAAAAGCACACATTTTACAACGTCTAATTAAAATTTCACGATGATCGGTCCAGAGATACTTGAAAAAAAAAAACAGAAATGAAATGTGGCTTACCGTAGCAGTCGCAGCCCTGTTCACTCGGAATTTGGACAATTTTGACAAAATCGGCCGCAACTCAGTGCAAAAAGTGCTCGAATCGTCAACAGCTCTCGAAAAAAACATATTAGACAACGTATTAATAAATTTTAAATTCAATCCACTCAAAAATTTTGATTTTACCGCAAAATTAAAAGTGGCTTCCTTTTGGTCAACCCTGCAAAAAAAGAAATGCGTTTTTTGGCATTGCAATTCCGACTCACCACGTGAGTGTTCGTGGGGACTCTGAGGAAGGGAATGATGCTGCGGAAGATGCTGTCTCCGACCACGACCAGGGTTTTCTGTCTCTGCAAAATGCGACCGAGAAACGATGAAGATGAGGAATCCTTTGAATGCCGGCCAGAAAAAATGGCACTAAAGATACTGCTTCGGCTCGATTGAAAACATTTTAGACTCTTTCGTACGATAGTCGATGCGATGCTTTCGAAGCGGAACCGTAAATTTTTTTCGAATGCTCACTTTTTTGAGGATGGGGGTCGTCCGAGACGACGACGGCGATTGAGTCTCCATCAGGCTTCGAAGGGAACAGAGGACACGAGACGGAGGAGACGATGCAGTTCCCGACTCCCCGAGTCCATCGCATGTGGCTGTTGCGACCGAGATCGCAAACTGAAGAAACGGGACGAACGAGAGGTTATCTCTCACTGGCATCACTTGCCGAAGTCGAGCACGTGTATCTCGCGTTCGCGTGTGGGATCGAGAGCGCTTAGGAACCGCGATCGAAGCCGATGATTTGGGGATTAACATCCTCGATGTTTGCAGCGATGGGCGATGCCCAACCCGCATCTGCGCGCTGGGGCCGGAAGTCGCTTTCCTTCTCCCTTCCTCTCCGGTTTGCGCGAGCGAGGACAGCGAGCGTGGAGACCAACGAGTGTGGAGACCAGCCGGCGTGGAGACCAACAAGTGTGGAGGACAGCGAGTGTGGAGGACAGCGAGTGTGGAGGACAGCGAGTGTGGAGGACAGCGAGTGTGGAGGACAGCGAGGGTGGAGGACAGCGAGCGTGAAGGTGAGAAGTGCGATGGGTCCGCGACTCCGGCTGGGAACTCCCGTCGATCTGCCTCGCGACCGGCTTCGGTCGACAACTAACTACTCTTCTCGCTTCCTTTCGCATCTCACCGAGATCCACGTGCGTTCGCGAACGGCTTCTTCGCCCCCTTTCTAGGCTTAAGGCCCGTTCGCACAGTCGATGCAGACACGGAAGTGGACCGTGATGTCTATCGGGCACCGACTCGGGGGAGACACTCGACATCGTCGCGACGACGACGAGGCCTGACGATCCCACGGTTCACCTCTGTTTGCATCGACTGATTCAATCGTCAACATACGAAAAAAAAAATGGCTTCACTGATCTACTTTCTCTCGTACTACGTACGACCGGACGGGAGCGTTAAGCCCATCCCACTCGGAAATTTCGGGAAATATAGGATAAACACTCACGCGTTCATCCTATGTTTCCCACTCTTCATACTTTTGTCGAGATACTTTACGTAGAGAAGTTTGATAAATGTGCAACATGCCCCTTTGAATCTCCAAGAGATTGATAGAAAACTCGGCTCGCTCGCTCGCCCCGACACGGGACGCGAGAACGGGGTTTCGCGTCTGGTCGTGGAGAGGAAATGGAGGCTGTCGCGATCGGTGGAGGGCTCTGAAGATTAATCTTAGTGTTTCGTTTTATGCGTTTTTTTTTCTATTTGAAATATGATCGTGAGATGAATTCGCTGGAACTTAATTCGGTGGCACTTTCCTCCTTGCCGTGTTATGTCGGAAAAAAGTGGTTCCGTTTTTGCACACTTTCCTGGGGTTGCACGAGACGTTCGTCTCGTGGCGAGCGAATTTCGACCGTGGCTAGATCTTCGAGATCGCGAAAATGGCATTTCCCGAATTTCTTGGACGCGTTACCTGCTTCACCTCGGGCGGCCGTCGATTCACTTTGACGCGCGTGCTCACGTTTTCCTGGCCTCTGGACGCACTCGGAAAAACATTTCTTACCAAAATTAAAATTTCTGCTAATATGGAAAGCTCCGTCAGCGAACGAGGCGAGACGAACTCATCCGATCGAGCGAAAAGAAGTGTTCTCTCACGAACGGTCTTCCTAAAAGCGAAGGTGCATGTGGACTTTGAACGACGCACCACTGATCCGACTCCGACGACCGCGGTAATGTCAGCTAACCTCTTCTTTTTCCGCCAGCGTTTTTCCTTCAGCTTTCCGCGAATGCGTCATCGCTGCTCATTAACCTTTCGTAAGGCGATTGTAGAAACTTGTTACGTCCGTGCGAGGCAGCTGCGACGCTACCAACACGGGGGGGGGGGGCAGAGGGGGGGGGGCACTGCTGTTGCTAACA